GGTCGGTCTGGCCACATACCCCCAAATTTAGTACAATAAAATTGATCTGTATACAGGGGAGAAAAGCATTCCAGAGGCAGCATATAGTGTCAGGAAGGATTCTGTGGAAATGGATTTCATGAGTTATCTGCAAGATTTACCTCGATTTATCTCTCATTTTTTCAATGTCCTATTTCACCTTGTTGGAACTCTGCTGTGTGAGTTAGAGGATGGAAGAGTAGAGGAGTGGTTCCAAGACCTTCAGGGTATCAAGGGTACTCAGAGGTCATCTTATTCAACTTTCTTTCCTCGCTACCTCTCACTCTTCCTTCTATTTTATCTTTTGCAGATGTAACAGTCAAATTTTTATTTCAAAACTATTAAGCAGAGAAAGGCCTGTGCTTGAATACTCCTGTGACAAAGAGCTCGCCACCTCACAAACTAACTCTTTCATTTTTGAAGTCTTTATTTAATTACAAAAATCTAACATACATATAACTCAAAACTACACAAGTGTATAGAGTCCTTCTCCAGTCCCACACCTCACCCCACACCTCTGATGTGACGGTTTTGATTTGTATACTTTCAGGTGATTTTTCCGTGATGTGCCGATAAAGAACATCATGGTGGGGCTTGTTTGTACAAGTTACACTAGAAGTCTGCAACTCAATTTTTACTTAGTAATAAGTCCTGAATCTGCACAGACAGATTTTTTTTGTTCTTTTTAATACGTGCATAATAGTCCAGAGCATGGTTGTACTATGATGTTTTTTTAAAAAAAAAAAATCTCTGATTGACTGATTCAGGTTGCTTTCAATTATTTTGGCTTTGCAACAAATTCCGCACTAAACATCTTGGAACACACAGTGTGTACAGTGACATGAGTGTTTTCAAATGAGATGCCTAGAAATGGAAATGCTGAATCACAGTATGTACCTGTTATGCTCTGGTAGATACTACTTTTCTCAGTGGTTGCAGCAGTTTCCCCTTGCACCAGCAATAAATAAGCATGTTCATTTCTCTACATCTTTTCCTAAACTTCATGTTATCCATCTCTGTGATTTGTGTCAGTCTGATAGACCCAAAAATATTTTTTTACAGTAGCATCTTGTTTGGTTTGTATTTAAGTTTTGGTAAGGTTAGGTTATGCTTCATATGGTCCTTGGCTATTAATGTCTCGCATTTTCAACATCTCCAATTATTAAAAAATTATCCTTGCTGTTGATTCTATATCTTACTTTCTATAAATTCCACTTATTGATCTTAGTTGTGTTTCTGAACTCGAACAAAGTAAGTTGGCTGTAACCTCTAAATGGCAATTGTTCAAATATTTGGAGAGTTTTACCAAATGTCCTTCTAGCCTACCTGTCTTTAAGCTAACATCCTCAACTCCTCCCTCCCATAAGAGTGATTTTGAAATAGTTTGAAATTCTAAGTTCTCCCCCTCTGAAATACCCTGGTTATCAGTGTCCCCTTTTAAAACATTTCTTCAGAACTAATTACAGGACGACAGCATATGTGTTCTGATAAATGCTGGGATCAGAGCAATAGTAACTATTTCTGTTTTGAATCATAATAATATATTTTTAAGTTTGGGATCCATTTTACTTGAGTGTATAGTCAATTAAACACAAGAAGTGTATTTTTGCATGATTGACTTTCAAATCACATTTCTCCCTTTTCCTAGTATGCAGCTGGTCTTTTACAACTTCGGTACAGGTTTTTGTATTTATTCCACTCATTCAATTATCTATCGTTTTTGGATCTTTACTAGAGCCAGTGGATTATTTCTTTTAAAGTTTTTAGCATATTAGTGATTCCTACCATTTTATCTTTTGCAGATTTAATAGGCAAATTTAGATTTAAAAAATATTAAGTAGAAAAAAGCCAAGGATGTAATCTTTCTTCAAAGTTTGCATGTATTCAGCTTTCTTCACACCTTTTGGCTTTGGTCATGGAAGTAGCTCAAAATCCACTCACCTG